CTTGAACCTAAAGGCGCTTCTCCTACAGTAACTCTCCCTGCATTGCTTTAGTTGTTCTCTTTGCACCAGTGCAAATTCTCATAGCTTTACTAATTTATTTTAATGCTGCTCCATATATAATCTATCATATATAATCACCCATGATCTATCATTGATCTCATTAACTCCTTATAAATATGCACCAATGATTGTTTACTTGCTCTCCATCTTTTCCTGCTTTTGCTCTCATTTAGGATTTTCTTACATTTCGTCTCTATTTTTTCTATATATTTTCTCCATCTTCCTTTTTCATCCAACCATTTACCCAAATATTTAAAGTGACTTCCTGTCTCCATTTTGTGACCATATAATTCCAAATTCTATTAATTTATCTTTCCTTTTTGTACATATTATAAGATTTACTTGTCAAGAGCTTAAAGCCCCATTTTTATCACCATTTTTCAATTTCTCTAATTTCCTCCTTGATTCTTTTTCTTCTCTTGTCCAAACGGCTCCATCATCAGCATATAAATCAGATCCAACTCTTTTATCTACTTTCATAAAAATATTATTAATCATTATATTAAATAATACTGGACTAATAACACTTCCTTGTGGAATTCCATTATTTATTTCAAATTGTTCTGAGACGTCAGATCCTACTTTAACTCTAATTCTTCTGTTAGAAAATCTAGAACCCAATTATAAAATCTACCTCTAATTCCCATCATATTTAATTTAATTAATAATCTTTCCCGCCACATTGAATCATGAGCCTTTTCTATAAGAAAACAATGTTCATTATTTCTTTCACTTTAAATGCTTTTTCCATCTATTTCTCACTTTCAGCGCAGCATCTATGGTAGAACGTCCTTTTCTAAACCCACTTTGATTTGCTGCAGATATTCCTGGTTTCTTTTAGTCTTCTTACCAGTATTGTTTCCGTCCATTTACAGAAATGCGATGTTAGGGCAATAGGTCTTTAATTTCCAACTTTTTTAGGATTTTTCCCAGGCTTATTAAATGGCAATACGCACTTTTCCATCTTTTTGGCATTTTACCTTCTTTCCAAATGTTATTAAATAAATGTAACGTCATCTCAAATACTTTCTCATGTAATTTCTGAAACATCACATAACTTATCTTCTCCTATTGCGCTGTTGCTAATACCCTTTAACACCATTTTTAATTCATTCATATTATTTTCTGCATCTAAATCAATCAAATTTATTTGTATAGCCCTTTATAATAGCCAGATGGAACCCAAAGTGCTTTACAACAAAGCCATAAAAAATATATAACACATATAAAACATACAGATACAGTTAAAAGTGCTTTAGTGCTGCAGGACATTAACAGCCTTCCAGAGGTGCATAGAAAGGAGCAAACAGAAAGATGACATCTAAGAGACAGTATTATAGTCAGAATTAAAAGCTAAATTAAAAAAGTGTCTTTTAAGCTTTTTTTAAAGGCTGAGGTCAGTAGTGGTTTGGATGTCAGTTTGTTCCACAGTCTGGGAGCAGCGACGGCAAAAGAACCATCGCCCCACTGTTTGAGTCTTGACCTATTGACCTCTAACAGAAGCTGACCCGAGGAGCGTAAAGCTCTGCCACAATGGCGGAAAATTTAAATCTCAGACCAGTAAGAGGGCGCCACTCCATGGATGGCGTTAAAAACAAACAGCAGAAGTTTAAAATCGTTTCTAAAACGGACTGGAAGCCAGTGGAGTGACGGCAGCACAGGAGTCATGTGTTCACGTCTGGAAGTGTTTGTTAAAAATCGGGCGGCGGCGTTCTGCACGAGACGAGAAATTGCTGACTGACTGAGGCCGACGTAAAGGGCATTGCTGTAGTCCAGCCTTGTACCCATGAAAGCTTGGATTGCCTTCTGTAGATCCTGCCGACTGAGAAAGGAGTCGACTTTGGCCAAAAGACGGATCTAATGCATTTTCCTCTNAAAATAAAATGCCTATTCAAGTTACATTAACTCATGTGTTAAGGCAGCAATTGAACTGGAAATTACAAACTAAATAGACAAAATGTTTTTAGATATTATCCCTTATATTAATTAATAATGGCAAGTTCACCAATATCCCAAAAGAAAACACTGAATGAACTTGGAACTAAAATGCTTTTAAACATTTATTTTTCACAAATTAGGGTAGTTAAAAAAAAATAAAAATAAAAATTTGTGGTGAAAAGTGGCCATAATAAGCTCTGAAGTCCAACAATGAAAGTTTTTAATTTCTGAATCTGTTCATTAATGCAGCCGCTTTTGGCATTTAGGCTACTTACTCATATTTAATAAATGTAGCCTACTTCACTGTTTTTGATCCATCGTCATGCATTCTGTCATGTAAACACGTTTAGCTATTTGGTTAAGTAACCACCTTCAGCACAAAGCTTTAGCTGCGTGGGAGGTTAAAATCCGACGCCTGCCGACAGATGCATGCACTGTAGTGTGGGCGTGACAGAGTGCACGCCCACACTACAGTGAGTAGGCTAATCACCATGGCCACCTCCCGCTGCATTTTAGCAAAAGTGAAATCACGGACCCATTGAGCTCATTCTGAACATAGAAGTCGAGCTGTGAACGTGAAGGCCTGCCATTTCTTCGTACAAGGTATATGTTAAAGTTTTCTTAGTAGTTCTTATGAGGGGTGAATTACATTTAAAATGTTAAAGTTTTTTCTTTAGCTTTTGGTTGTATGGTGAGTTTTAGATAAAGAATTCTTAACATTACAATTGATTTTTATTTTTATTTCTTTTCCAAAGGAAAACAATCTCATAAGAAGAAGAAGAAGGTCATTCTGAACATAAAACTCGAGCTGTGAACTTGAAAGCCTGCCATTTCTTCGTACAAGGTATATGTTAACGTTTTTTCTTTAGCTTTTGGTTGTATGGTGAGTTTTAGATAAAGAATTCTTAACATGATTTTTATTTTTATTTCTTTTCCAAAGGAAAACAGTTTCGTTTAGACAGCTTCTAATTATGTAGTTATTGATATTTTTGGTCAGTGACTGATTTTCCATTAATAGATAAATCGGGNTGCTAACTGAAATGTTGAAATATTCAAAGGAAACAGAGGAAATGTTTTAATGACAATACAAGGAAACATTTCCATCATATTTAAATAGATAGAAATGAGAAAAATGAGAGAAAAATATCCAAAGATGTATGTCCCTTTTCACCTGGCTCCTTATCCAAAAATAAACAGTGTACAATAAAATATATTTTTTTGAATATAATTTAGGGATTCCTTTTAGTAGAAATTAAAGAATGGTTAATATCACCTCTTGTGAGCTGGAAGAAATAAAATATTGGTAGTAAAGTTTTTTTTTTTTTTTATGATTGGCAGAGGATGATCAGCCCCATATAGTTTATTAAGTAGAAAAAGCAGGAAGTTTCCTTTAAATATTTCAACATTTTTGTTAACATAGTGAAATTAAGGTCTGGATTATCATGGCATTACAAGGAAATTATGTAGGTTTTATATAAAGACTTGAGTTAATCAGGTATATCAAGTATCAAATATCGTTGGAGATTAAAATATTAGAAGAACCCCAAAGCCCTGCCCTCATCTCTATGGTTACTGAGTGGAGCGCTACATATGACATGTTTAGAAACCATTGAGATTTTGAAATGGATTTGTTAGATCACAGCAAGAATTTAATAACTGTTTAAAGCTTCAAATTGAAAAAGTGTTGAAGTTTTTTCTATTTATGTTCCTGAATCAATTCACTTAAATAAAAAATAAAACTCCAGAAATATGTTAAATATACAACAAAAACATTTCAATGTGAACTTTAAAAATCAAAAGATGAGCAGGCCCACCCTTCTGACCTGTGCTGTAAAAAGGGGCGGAGCCTCAGGTGAGTCAGTTATGATAAATCAGAATAAACCGGTCCAGTCATGTTCAGACTGCAGTTTCCAAGGAAGTCAGAGCAAAGAGAAGAATCTGGGTGTGAACTCTTCATTCCTTTAATTTTCTCTTAGAGTCTCTAAGTGTGATTTCTCCCTCTGTGGACTGTAGATGAAACCAGAACCAGAACTCAGTCTGGGTTATTATGGGAAAAAAGTATGCAACCGAGTTGAATAAAGGCAATAAATAGAAATCACTCTGCACTTTATTTGTCTTTGCAAAGATGAGAACAAGACAATCCTAGCAGCCCTCACAGCTCAATATTCTGCTCTGTTCTGGTCTAGACAAGGTTTTTTCCAAATAGCCTAAAGCCTGCAAAGAGCTGTGAATGTCTCCACAAACAGTTAATCTAAACAAGTTACAATCAGTTAAAGAAAAGAGTAAAATGTTGAATAAACCTTGAGTCTAAAGGAGTCTGGCCTCTTTTCCAAACAGCCCCTAATAGAAATAAACAACACTTCTCACCCAGAAACTGTAGCCTTGCAGGTGTGTGACGGCCTGATTGAGTAAATAAAAATCAGAATTCACATAGGTGTGCAGGTGGCACTGTGGTTAACGCACACAACCCATGTCCGGGGTTCATATCTGACCTGTGGTCCTTTGATGCTCTCATACCCCCTTTCCTGTCAGTCTACTGTCCAAAAAAATGAGCCGCTAGTGCCATCAAAAAAATAACTAAAAACCATCACCATTCATAAATTAATATTAGAAGAGAAGTGATGGGAAATAGAATTTCTGACTACAGGACTTCTGAGCTTTAATTCTTTGTCTTCACAGGAAACAGACCATGTTTTATTCTCTACCAGATGGACTCTGAGAAGCAGAAACCTAAAACCTTTGTTTTCTTAGTGAGAACTTTGGACCGACCCTTTGGTTCTGATTCTGTAGATGTAAACTCACACTCAGAGTTCTGGTTCCTCTCAGAGCAACGAGAGTCAGAGAAAGTTTTAAAGCCAAGGAATGTTCAATGCTGTGAGGAGGTGCTAACAAAAACATCCATCAGATTATGTAGTTAATCTGAGATTATGTAATGGAATAAACACATGGAGGTTATTGATGAAGAGCTCTATGGCAGATGGAGGCAGATCACACGATAAAAAAAAGGCAGCAGGGGAGGATAAGGGCGGAGCCTCAGGTGAGTCAGTTAAGCAGAGACGATCCGGTTCAGTCAGTAAAGAAAAGAGCGCATCGACCTGAATCAGGGTGAGTGTTTGCTGCTCATTTTTCTTTTCTTTTCCTTCTGTTTGGGCTTTTATTGGGCCTATCTAGGCCTGGTTCTGCTTCAGCTTCATGATGGAGAGTAACTGCATCTGATTTCCTCAGATAACTTGTTTCTACAGCCTTAAAACACATTTATTGATATTTATAATAAGATCTTCCCAAACATTTGACTAACATTGATTGTGTATATATTATTAATAAACTGCTCTGTTTCACTGCAGTAAATTGACCATATATATGTACATATATTTTTCTTTGGCTAAAACTGTATCCTGTGTGTTGCTATAATGGTTTCCTAGAGATGGACTCCACTCATCCACGCTGCTCTCTGTCAACCACTTTACATCCATTTCACCACTTCCTCAGAAGGAATCAGAAGTGATCTAAAA